ACTTTCAAGTGGTACTATCACTTTATGAAAGTAATGGGAAAGTAAGTACACAAATATCGTTTATAATGACATACGAACGTACTAAATAACCTAAAAACATATTTGTTTTATTACGGTCATAATGTGAAGGCTAGAACCCCTACTAAACTCTCTACCTATCAAGAGATTAAGGGAACCAAACACGACCCCCGTAAATTCTTGCAAGCCGTGTAATTCACATTAAAGTTATATGATCATGTATACCCAATATAACTATCACCTTTTGTTTAAAACAATGAGTTAGTGACTCATTGGTATAATTAGATCCTATTTGTGTGTTCTCATGATATAGCAACCTAACATGTTTGTTATGTTCTGTTTTTTCTGTAACCCTTTACTACGTGTTCTGTATGATATTGTTTGATTCTCTTCACTGTTTGTTTGATTCTTGCATGAACTGAATCTTTGTGTGCTTATTGTACTAGAAGTAGTGAATAGCATTCTCCTAAACTACGCCTAATATAGTTTACTAATGTTCTACCTGTACTGTTATTGAAAAGACTCATTTATCTACTAAGTTATGCTTGTACTTTAAGAATGGAGTTTTGTGTAACTATAAAGTAACATAACTTTAAAGAGTTTTGAATTGTATTGACAACTTATAATTAACATAAGTAACATTTTGAAAGATGTTTAACAACAAAAATTACACAATTATCATTGTGTTCAACATGTATTCCCCCTTAAACAGTTTAAAATAGTTAAAAGATTCATTATGGGGTATGAACTCACCTGATGTGGGTGATTCAATCGTGTATGTGTGTAAGGATGAGAAGTTCCACGAATGAAGTCCCGAGACACAACAAGTCCTAAATGACATATAGGGACACATATTGACATGAATATAGTGTTTATAAACAACTATATGAAAGAATACACCTTCCAGGACTAGGAAACACCTTGAATAAGTGTTGGAATCACATGTGATTCATCAAAGGGAAGTGGAATGACCAAATCATGAGTTTAAGGTCTTATGACCATCACTCATTGAGTTTAAGGTCGTAAACCCATGAGTTTACGACTGTAAACTCATTACTCTTTGACCATTTTGAGTTTAGAAGCCTTCCAAGTCATACTAAGCAATCATACTTCATGGTTAAGACTTAGGATGTGTTTAGGGCAACATATCACCCCTTTATGGGGTTTACGGTTTTTGGACCTTTTAACTTTGGGTTTACGGTCGTAAACCCAAATGGTTTATGGTCAAATGATGTTTTTAAGTCTTAAACACTTCAAGGTAAAGGTCTAGGCTAGTTTCTAGACTTAAGGAAGGAATTTGGGACATCAAAACATGCATTTGGGGTGTTTATGTTGGATTAGTGTCTAAGTCCATAACTATTTTGGTATGTACTTGACCCGATGGTGCATGGTCCTTTTGGGTTGCCTTCACCAAAGCAACTTGATAGGATGAATTATGGAGAGAAAGGATTAAATATGGTTTATTAATATATTATGGGAATAATATATTAAAGGAGAAATCATATTGTTTAATTAATATTAGTCAATAATTAATTGGTAATTAGTTTTGTGACTAAAAGAGATTAATTAAACTTAAGGGACTGGAATTGTAATTATAAGATAATTATGATTTGGGCCATGGATTGCCTTGTATCAAGGGTTGGACGAATTCTATGGGGAAGCCCATAAGGAAATCGTCCAAGGGCTTGATTAAAAGGAGTCTATGGGTTGCTTAGGGCTTAAGCATCCAAATTAGGGTTTCCTTGTTAGATAACCCTAATAGCCCAACTATATAAAGACCCCTTAAGGCTAAAAAACGTGGCCAAGCTTCTTGTAAGGGTTTACACACGTTTTTGGCAGCCTCCAACCTCTCTCATCTTCATCCTCTTGCTTATGGTGTTTGTGAACCATTAGAGGAGTGACACTTGTGACTCTAAGCCTTCCAAAGTCAATACAAGGAGGAATTGGGATTGTTATTGCTACATAACAATCAAGGTAACATTATAAACTTATTCTCATGTTAATATGATTATATGTATGCTAGAATTAGGGTTTATAGTCTTGGATTCAAAGCATGTACAATAGAGAAACCTAGATCCAAGCATTAGGGTTTGTATGAGCACATAGGATGTCTTATGACCAAAACCCATCAATTTACGGTTTTGGGAGGTTTCCCAAACCGTAAACACATATAAATGGGGTATTTTGGTGACTTTTATGTGCTAAACACATTAAGTGAAGGTTCTAGGTTTGATTCCAAGGTTTATAGGGACATAGGGCACACCTTTGGCCACATTTTGAGTGTTTACGGTCCTAGAGGATCTTAGGCCGTAAACACCTTTTCCTTGAGATATTTAGATGATTTCAATGATATCTAGGCATGTAATACACTTTAATACACTCTAGGTTTGAAGTAATTATAATTGGGGGCGAACGGTTGATAATCCTTGGGAGAGAAATTGGGTTTTCTCTAGTTGAAATGGAAGAAATGAACTAAAAATGGCTAAGTCTTACTTATATAGCCTTTAGGGTTTACGGTCCCAATACCATTTTGGACCGTAAACTCCAAACTCTTGAAGTTTTGGGTGCTTATTGCTACATAATAAACCCTAGGGTATCCTCTCTCCTGATATCTCTTGATGTACTAACTTTAAAATACTCAAACTTGTCCCAAAAAGTTTGAAAGTTTGCAGAATCCGTTTTGACTCCTATTGAAGTGAATGGTTGTACAGAAAAGAAATTTCGGGTTGTCACACTTGGACTCGCCGAGTCCTATGAACTCTGGGATTATGGTTTAGCCCAAAACGTTAGGTCACTACCCTGGACCCTCTAAAATCTTTCCAACACTCAACTGGGTCTCTTTGACCCGCAACAGAAAAGGGGAGTCTAGCCTCGGACTCACCGAGTTCCAAGAATGACTCGCCGAGTTGATACTACCCCAGTCTTATTTCTTCGATTTCTGGTGTACAACTCTTGTCCAAATGATAGATCTAGGTCCCTAAACTTGATTAAGCACGTAAAGTTACGAACTTTACGTGCATGCATGGGACTTTGAGCCAAAAAGTCTCTTAAAGAGACCCTTAAGTTGCATGGGGGCTTCCATGGGTGCAAAAGCAGCCCTTTTCTTCCTTGTAACTCCTTCATGGACCTAGATATGAAGCCTCAACCCCCAACCATGCTTGCAATCATGGTTGGTCACCAAGAATGGCTTATAAAATCCCTAAATCTCCCCAAAAAGGGATCTAGCAAATGAACAAGCAAGGTATCGACTTTATACCTTCTGGGAACTGCAAATGATACACAAACTCGAACTCCCTTGGTCTTCTCTTGACCCCTTTAGTCCCTTCCTTCTTCCTTGTGATCAAAATCACCAAAAATCACCATAAATGCCTTTAGATCTTCACACACGTAGATAGGGTTTGCTATGGGGGGTTTCTGGAAGCAATAGGGGCGAAGGCTGGATGAAAGAGATGCTTAAATGGGGTGCAAACCCTTAGATTAGGGTTTTGTCCAGTCAGAGTCTACTCGTCGAGTCTGGAGGCCGACTCGATGAGTCCGTCATTTAAATCCCGTATCCAATCCGCTTCTACTTGACGACTTGGGCCTTCAACTCGCCGAGTCCCAGGCCAAAATGCAGAATACTTAAATAAATACATACCAGGAACCAGGTGCTACAAATAGACGAAAATACCCCTATATACTCCCTCCCTCTATTCACTGTAATATAAGCAATAAAGACTTAAAAGCACTTAAATCACATAACCACATACCCTCTATAGTCCTTCTATTTACCGACATACAAAATGCATAAAAGCTCAAACGTTAGCAGACAAAATTAACATAAATGGTCCCTATAAGGTTTAAAGATTACCTCTCAAAGGTATACACAATATAATTATGCGGGAATAAACAATCCAAAAGTAGACTAATAACAAAACTATTGACACATTAAAATGGAAAAAAAACATTTAGAACCACATTGGCAGTACATCCAACATGTAGTGGACATACAACAAATGGTATTATTACACAATGTGTTAAAACTGAGGAAAAAAACTAAAATGAGAATGTATACGCATATGTATTCTTTTACCTATAACAACATGTCAACCTCATTGGGTTTAACCTTCTTAAGCATATCCAGATCAGAGTGATAAACCCATGTGTCATTTTGACATTGGACCAAACCTGTTAAAAAAAGTAAACTTGATGAAACAATTAACATAAATACATACATATATATATATATATATATATATATGTATATACAGTTAAAAATACATAAACTTTGAAAATTCAGGAATCAACTAATTTGCAATCGAAACAAACTCAATAATATATAACCAAAAGGGTATAAATGTCCAAGTAAAAATTATAACATTCGACTCTCATAAAACAACAAAATCACAATTGCATTATTTTAATTCAAAACAAAGTCAATAGTTAAATCCCCAAAAAATGCAAGTACATATAGGGTGTTGATTTCAATTCAGTAAAATTCAAATATGAGACTTCCATCAACAGGGACCAATACAGCAAAAGGAGAACAATACCAAAGAATTAAAATGTATTTGTATCAAACATGATGGAAATGCCCCTACACTAAAAACAAAACCATATCGTGGTGGTGGCAACTACAACATTGATGGAAAAGATAAAGGAACATAACTTGGTGTTTGGATACATAATCAAGTAAAACAATCAACATACATACAGTTAAAAATAAATAAACTTGTACATATGTATGGATTTCTGATTATTTAGGGTAAAAGTAATATAACATTGCCTTCAACCAACAAATTAAAGTGTTTAACTAAACCCATATGTAAAAGAACACTATGGAAGACATTTTATGCCTAAAAGTTAATAATTCAAAAGCAAAAAAGATTTACATGTTCTTTTGAAACACCCTTTGATTTTATCACAGATGGTTGCAATAACTAATGTTGTCAAGAAATAACAACTTACTTTCATTATTAAAAGTTTAGAGTAAACAAATATGAATGATACAAGGTAATTTTGGTCGTCTGTTTTTATGTTATCCTATTTTTCCTATATGGGCAATGTACTTTTCTTGAGCAATGTCATTCCTAGATCCTTACTCTGTTACCTATAATATAATGTTCCTAGATGCTTTTATGTCAACAAGGACCAAAAAATGATTAATATGTTAATGTGCCAAAGTTGATGGAAATGCCCCTGTACTGTTATATTAGTGTTTTTAGTGATTAGGGGTTTTAAGATGTGGAAGGGAAAATCATCGGGAAAGTAGGTGGCTATGACGACTGATAAAATTTCCATAAGCAAAGAAAGAGGGAGAGATACACGATTTGGGTAAGGTTTGGCCAGGTTGTTAAAGGATCTGTGACAACCGTCAATTTCCGATCAAGTCAAAGTCAAATAAAGTCAACAGGTCAAACCGGTCAACTCATCTAACCCTTGTATATTAGGGTTTGCATTATGTTTAAAGTTGTACCACACGCTATGTTAATACAAAGTTATCACTTGGAAAGTTCATATGCTCAGAAATTCTAAACCCTAATCAGGGTAAGTGATGAAACTATTTAATAAAACATTATTCCATACCCCTTGGGGACATATAACAATCATAACGAGGCTTAACGGGGTGTGCGAACCTTGCGTTGCGAAGCTAAACATCCAAAAAGGTCACAAACGAAGTCTCTCTCAATCTCCCTTTATAAATCTCTCTTTTTCTCTCTCTCTCTCTCTCCCAAATCTCTCTCATAACCCCAATCAACTTTTTATAATGATTTGGGGGCATCCCGACCCTTAACTTAACCAAAAATTGCACAAAACGGGGAGTTTACACGAAAAACAGCCTTATAGGGCCGAACCTTCTTAGGGATGAAACCCTAAGAAGCGAAACCCATAAGAACCGAAGGACCGAAGCTGAAGGTTGAAGGAACCGAAACAACATGGGCCGAAAGTAGGAGGACTGAACCCGAAGGTCCTTTAGGATCGAACTTCGCTCCATTTCGCTTCTCTCCCCACTCTCGCCTTTGCTCCTTCCCTTCTCGCCTGTGAGATTTCCCGGAACTGAACCTCCTCTTGGCTCTCACCCTCAACCGAACCTACCTTCGGTTCCCAACCACTAAAGACCGAACCCTCGGCCCTGGATCCGAAATTTCGTAGATTTCGTTCTTTTTCCCGGTTTTCGACCACTTTCGCGTTTTAAGCCCGTTTTTTCATGATTTTGACGTGGGATTTTCACCCAAACCCATATTTTGACACATAAAACACTAAATATTCATAGTTTAAACACATTTTAATGGAAATCTTTGCCTAAGAATAAATTTTGTGGGTAAGATATTAAGGTGGAGTGTTGACTTTACCTTTAGGTCATGACACAAGCAACCCACCAAACCCACTCCAGGGCCATACTCAATCACTATTCCTCTATACTTAGTCAACTAGTTGTCCTTTCACCCCCTTTCACCAGCCATAATCAGATCAAAGGGTTGGAAATCTTACTTCTCCCCACATTCTTCACACTTTCACCAAGAATCAAACCTATTTCTCTCTCTCTCACTTTCTCTCTCTAAAAACTTGAATTTGAAGGATATTCTTGAGCATTTCCCTCCAAGTTTGGTAAGTAACTTCATCCTACATTTGATTATCTTTCATCATTTCACTCAAATTATGGATTCCTTACACAAATATCATCATGTTTGTTACTAGATCTTTAAATCCTCAAGTATCTCCAAAGTGTTATTGACTTGGAAACTCCTTTTCTTCATCATCCATCTACTGAAATCCCTCAAGGTGAGTTCATACCGCCACATTTTCATTTTTTCTTCAAGTTTTAGGGGGGGGGGGATACAAGTTACAACACCAACAACATAACTAAACTCAAACATCAACTTTCAACAGAAAAGTTAATGTTCATTCACAAACTGTTTTGAACATCTTAAACTTTTTAGTTTTCAAAATTGTATTAGTTGAAAATGGTTCAGGTTTATACCTTTAAAATGACTACTTGCATAGGTCCATACAATTTTTCTACAATTTATGGTGATTTTTACAAAACTTCTTATCACTGTAGCTACGATTTCGGACCTGTCTGTGAATATGGACATTTTCACATCAGTTAGGGGCTTCTAAAAATCAAAATAAAATTTATGAACAAACTAGACACATTTTATAAACTCTTAGAGTTTACGGATCTAGTTTTCGATTTCTTATGATTTTACTATGATATTTCTAAATCAGTGCAGAAATGGTGAAAATGAATTTACATATTACAACTTTTATAACACTTTATAATATGTTGAGTAAAGTGTAAATCTTTGATGACTTCATATTTTGCTTGTGTTTTCTGTTGGGATATAATTATATTACATAAAATTATTCACTAATTGCAAGAGCTCTTTATTATTACAATTAATGCATGATGATGCATAGTAAACATAGTTATGTTTTGCTACATGTTCTACTTCCACATAAAAGGATACTATACATTATAAACATTTTGATAAACTATAATAGGTATAGTTTATGTTTCATATACATTATTAAAGGGTACATTTCTACAAAAAAAAGTTTTCAATTTAACACTACGTAAATCTGTTAATGAATCAATTTGTGAGACATTCGCTTCACGTTACTTCCAAAGTAGCGTAACAAAAGTCCTGTAATTATAACCAGAATCTCTTGTAGGAAGAGCGTGATAGTTGTGTATAGATCTATATTGGGTCTGACAAACCCACACCTTAGCTGCATGCAACAGCTAGACCGGCTGGTATGGGGTGACAAATGTCATTAACATTCCGACGCCTGAAGAACGTCGTATACAAGGCCGACTAAGTCATAGTATGATTATAATAACTCATATGGGGTATTAACAAAACATAAGATTTACGAGATTTCCATTTAAACAAACAAGTTTATGTCGATTTAAACTTGCATGATTTACAATTTATATGGAAAAATACTAGTACATTATTAGTCTTGGCATTTAAGACTACAATCCATTTTAAAAAGGGAAAATATTGGATTTTTCTGGAACAAACATTACTTTTACAAGAAAGGATTTCAACATTTCATTCAAAAGTTTATGAACTCACCAACTTAATTATTGACACTCTTTTCAAAACTACTTGTATTCTCAGGAAATCAGTAAAATAGGTAATCGTCTGCTTTTGAGGATGAAACGCTAAGGCGTTAAACATTGTATTTTTGTCAACACAATGTAATTGATTTAGAAACATGTAAACATATACTATGATGTAACTTTTTCAATTATATTTATGTTGGTTGTTTTGTACTTTGAGCACTATTATACTCGTTGTTGTGATACTATACATGAAATCCTTCATCCCTGAACGTTTTTGCTATCTTTGGTGTGGAGGGTGTGATAGGATTTGTGTAAAATCTATTTAATGTTATTATTTTAATCGAGAAAATAGTAAAATAAATAAAAAGTAAAGTAAAAAGTAAATAAAAAAGGCAAGAAGGTCATTTTAAGCATTTTCAATTTTAAACCGGATCAAACTCCCAACAAAATAATTTTTTTTTTGACCAATAATCATAGTCTAAATTATTTAGACGAAAGTGACAACTTATTAAACCACAAGGACCATTTTTACAGTTTAGTCAAACATAAAAAAGCCCAATTCTCTTATATAAATGTCATACAGGCGAGAAGTCTCCGTTTCCTCCTACCTCGGTCTCTCACTGTAGTCTCTTTCCGGCGTACCTGTTCAGGCATCCAAACAGGTAGCTCTTCCGCCCTTTTTTTTGATTTTTATTCTATAATTTTCATCTCCGTTCCGTGCTTGTTGCAATTCTTTAGCTCTTTCCATTCGTACAAGAAGTTATTGCATTAGGGTTTTATATATCAATAACCCTAAACCCTAACTTTGCCCCTGTTTTCAGATTACAATTTGCTGCTTCAGTCTCTTCTCTACATCGAAACATGAGGTGATTTAATTATATCTTACATATATGTACTGGCTTTTAAGCAAACCCTAGACTGTTAGTTACGCTTCCATTTTAAGCTTTAGTGTTCGAACCTCGGAGTAATAAGTTGTCTTTCTTTTTGTTGATTTCGCAGTCGACCAATGGAAGAAGATGCACCAGTAAGTACTTTTAGTTTGAATTTAGTTAGAATCCAATTTTCTAAATTCTGCATCTGATTTCGAATGTTTCAGTTTTCCCCAACGAAAATTTACCTTCTGACTATACAGTTATTGCTTTTTAAAACTTGTTGCAGACCAAAAACGAGGAAGAGGAGTTCAACACTGGCCCCCTCTCTGTCTTGATGATGAGTGTCAAAAACAATACACAGGTTAACATATGTTTAGCTGCCTGTATCTTTTAGCTACGTAAAGCTAATAGTTAAGAGCTGAGTTTCTTAACAACAGCCTTTTGTTGAGATTTACGTTTTTGCTGTTTTGTGTTGCACATCCAGGTTCTTATTAACTGCAGGAATAATAAGAAGCTTCTAGGTCGTGTTAGGGCATTTGATAGACACTGCAACATGGTGCTGGAAAATGTTAGAGAGATGTGGACTGAGGTCAGTTCTTCTTCCAAAAGAAAATATCAGGTTCCAAATTTGTATACATATTCTGATTGTTTTAGTTTATGTATGTCAGGTCCCCAAAACAGGAAAAGGCAAGAAGAAAGCTCTTCCGGTTAACAAAGACAGATTTATCAGCAAGATGTTTCTCCGAGGCGATTCTGTCATCATTGTTCTTAGAAACCCTAAGTAAAAGGTATCATTCTTCATTGCTTTTCCTTGACAAATCAGGTCTTTTAGTTTTCTTTTTGATGTTTTGCCATATGTCTTGTGACCTTAGTGACTGCTTCATTAGTGCTTCTGAGATTATATCAGCAGTTCCTATGCTGAAAATGGTATGGAATTTATTGGTTGCAGGATTTTGTTGATTTGGGATTCTGGATTGAAACTTTGACTTGTCACTGAAGACAAGTGTGACTGGTAGTAGACAATGGTTGTATCTGTTATTAAAAGATGTTTTTTTTTTTTTTTTTGTATGATGATTGCTTAACTTCCCTCTACTTTAGTTTGAGTATGTCATGGATTTAAGTTTTGGATTATTAAGACCGGCTGATGCTGAGTTTTTAACGAGTCAAAAAAGAGTAAGGGGTTGTTCGGTAGGGTCTGTTTGATTAAGATTTAAATCCAATAGATGCCTGAATCAGACAGAAGCTCTGAAAAATCTACTGATTGTGCTGAATGATGCAAATTACCATTTTTCCTTTTTGAACTATTTTCCAGGATAAATATTTAAGTAAACCAAATCACCATACTACGTCGTTTTGTATCATATATATACATTCTAATTGTCTAATGTTCTTATAATTCAACTTCTAACTTGATTTCATTCAAAGATTTTTATAAATTTCATATTTATTTTTCTCTTACTTAATTCTTTCAACTATAATATATAACCTAATTGATGTTCGTCAAAAAGATGTGATGTAAGAGGAAGATAATAATGTAATTTTGAAAATTTTGAAAGTAAATTTAGTTAAGGATTTAAGTTGAAGAACATTATAATAAATATATCAAACAAAATGATGTATTATGGTGAGTTTGGGTACTTAAGCTTATATATTTTTAAGGGTATATTCACTTTTCCTTTTATATATATATATATATATATATATATATATATATATATATATATATATATATATATATATACACACACACACATGGGGTATAAGCTCCCTGTAATACACGGATTAAGTAAAAAAAAGTTAAATATGAAAATGTAAATATTAATCAACTTCTTTTAAAAAAATTGAAAAAAAAAATACAAATAAACAATGAATAAGTAATTCAATCTTTATGAATAAAAAAAATATTGATATATTCTAAATAAATGTGTTGAATATTAAGATGTAAACATTAAATATTTTTAAGTAAATATAAAAATTAATAATTAACCAACTATATTAGTGATGTAACATCATACAATAAAGGAAGTTATGATATATTTCATTAAAAGCAACAACAAACACTATTGCTACAATACATGTTCATCCATCAAAATCATCCCCATTTTAAGTTTGTCATGAGGATTTAACCAAGTTGTCTTTTTACATAGATGGATGATTCGAACCTTACAAGAATAATCTTGTAATCATGTTTTGTTAGAGCTAAGTAACTAATTATGATAAGCTTGATTGGATCCATGAAATTATAATTTAGTAGAAGAGGTATGAAAGAACAATAAGCAAACATTCAAATAATATGCTCCTACTTATGAAAATGCAAACCATCAGATAATTATGTAATTTTTATATAAAGAAATGAATTGTTTATATAATTTTTTATATAAAAAGAGGGACTGTTTGTGTAAGTATCTATTTCTCAGAGAGATTGGTTATATAAATCCGTGACATAGGGACCGTTTATGTAATTATGTCATATATAGACTGTACATGTAATTAGGTCACATAGGGTTTGTTTATGTTATTTTGTGTTTCTCACGGAAATTTATGAAATGTGTGTATGTGTTGGAAATAAAATGGGGATATAGTTGGTTTAAGTGATTGCAACACCCAATCTTTCCAACAAAAACAATTTGTAATACAATGCTATATTTCAAACTATAATGCTATAATGGGTATACTTTTAAAGTACAATATTGTGATATGAAAACAGTCAAACATCATTTTTATTTCAGTTTTTAATGAAATTATCGTTTTACCCCAACAACTATTTATTTATAAAAAAAATATGTATATGTTTATATCTCATACACATTAACACACACATACAAAACATAAAACAAATTATATTTTACTTCCTAAAGTACAATGTTATTTTTTCCAAACACATACAGACAAACGAAAGTTACACATTAAAGTAAGATGATAAACTATCCCTCTCGTTCTAAAGGTATATATTTTCTAAATCTCCCATTTTTCAATTTGTGTGGGTTACTGGGTTTGTTACTTTATTGGTTTATCCAAGATTTTAAATAGTTGTACTCTCTATTGAGGTATAAAGACATAAAAGTTACCTGACATTATCAGACGAAAATACCCCTATATAGTCCCTCTAATTGAAATGTTGCACAAAGGTTGATAAGGATTTGATTAGGTTATTTTGGATTATTTTTATGCATATGGCCAATACAGTTACGTGGAAATCCCATTTTAATTAGATTTCAATGATATCAAAATATGACATCATAAATATGCTTTCATCACCCCCAAAAGAAAAGAAACACAAAATGAAAGCTGGAAAAAGATCCTCATACACAAAATAATAACCATGAAATAATATGTTACAAGTTTTAATTTTTTATTCAATATTTTATTTGAAGGTTTAAGAAAAGAATATGCAAAATGGTAATATCTATAAGGATAAACAATTATAGTAATGAATATATTATTTATTACTAGGTGTGAGACTCGTGTATTACACGGGTTGATTAGAAAAGTTAAATATAAGGTGTAGACATTAAGTATTTTCTAAAGTAAAATTTTGAAATAAATATAAATGAAATGATGAATAAGTAATTCAATCTATACTAATAAAAAATTATTATCATGTTTTAAAAAATCATATTGAATATGAATGTGTAAAAACTAAGTATTTTTTAAAGTAAATTTTTCGAAATAAATACAATAAATAGAATAAATCATAAGGGACCATTTATATAATCTGCCTTACTTAATCTATACTAATAAAACTAATTAATATCAATTCACAAATGAAATTCATTAAATAGAAATAAGAATTCACAAATGTAATGTTTACTATATACATTAATTCATATTAATTACTATGAGGTGACATTTAATAGGTGAAAGTTGAATGAAAAAAAAAAAAAAATACAAAGATAACAAGCGGAAAAAAAAATAATTTTAAAATTCTAAAAAAATGACATGTGTCAAATTGAATAAGAAGTTGCAAAATTATCTTTATTTATTAGGGTAGATTTGTGATATATTATCTTATTATTACAACTTGAGATGGTAATAATCAGCTTTTAATCACGTCCTAAAAGAAAATCACTTTTAACTCTTTGGATTAACATATCTGACCACTAAATGTCTACACTTAAAAGGTCTTAAGGTCAAATAATATAATTTTATACGTTATGTTTATTTCTCACACACATACAAAACAGGAAAAAATATTTTACTTCATAAAGTACAATGTTATTTGTTTGAAATCTTCTCACAATAGACAAAAATACCCCTATATAATCCTTTCCTCTATTCACTATAATATAAGCAATAAAGACTTAAAAGTATGTGACATCACTTAACCAAATACCCTCTGTACCTTCTATTTACGGGCATACAAAATGCATAAAAGCTCAAAAGTTAGCAGACAAAATTAACATAAATGGTCCCTGCAAGGTTTCAAGATTACCTCTGAAAGGTATACAAAATAAAATTATGCGGGAATAAACAATCCAAAAGTAGAGTAAGAACAAAACTATTAGCACATTAAAATGGAAAAAACATTTAGAAACACATTGGCATTACATCCAACATGTGGTAGAATTGGTATTATTACACAATGTGTTGAAAGTAAGAAAAAAAAACTAAAATGAGAATGTATACACATGTATTCTTTTACCTGTAACAACATGTCAACCTCATCAGGTTTAACATTCTTAAGCATATCCACATCAGAGGGATAAACCCATGTGTCATTTTGACATTGGACCAAACCTGTTAAAAAAAGTAAACCTTAGGAAACAATTGACATACATACATACATACATACATACATACATACGGTTAAAAATACATAAACTTTGAAAATTAAGTAATCAACTGATTTTCAATCGAAACAAACTCAATAATATATGACCAAAAGGGTATAAATGTCCAAGTAAAAATTACAACATCCAACTTTCCTAAAACAACCAAATCACAATTGCATTATTTTAATTCAAAACAAAGTAAATAGTGAAAGCCCAAAAAAAATGCAAGTACATAAAGGGTGTTGATTTCATTTCAATAAAATTTAAATATGAGACTTCCATCAACAGGGACCAATGCAACAAAAAGAGAACCAACACAAAGAATTAAAATGTATTTGTGTCAGACATGATGGAAATGCCCCTGCACTGAAACATAACCATATCGTGGTGGTGTCAACAACAACATTGATAGAAAAGATAAAGGAACAAAACTTGGTGTTTGGATACATAATCAAGTAAAACAATAAACATACATACAGTTATAAATAAATAAACTTCTTCATATGTATGGATTTATGATTATTTAGGGTAAAACTAATCAAATATTGCCTTCAACCAACAAATTAAAATGTTTAACTTATCCCGAAACTTCGTCACGAAATCCTACCAATTCATCGACTCAACATCCTCGCCTCCCAAGGCGTGTCCAACCTCCTCCTACCAGTCTTGAGCTCTATCTTTCAGAGGACAGGATGCAAGTCGAACCTTTGCCTCCTTAAGACAGAGGCTAGATCGGAAGGTATTCCCAACGTCTACCAACCAACGCCTGCTCGTAATCGGGTCCTTCTTCCCGAAGAACTTCGGGGATCTACATGCCCGAAACTCATGGAAGGTCAAAGTGCGAGCTCCCATCATCACTGCAATATCAAAATGAAAAGCGCCCAAGCGCTCACCCAAAATCTCCAGAATACCCTATTTGACCGTGCCAAAGATCACAGGAGTCTGCTCAAGAATATTGCGGGTAATCTCTGCTCAAGAATATTGCGGGTAATCTCTGTTGACATGAACTCCCACATCCGATTATCCATAAACCTAGCCTTAGAGCCTGAACCTGAACCATCATCAACACTAGCATCGACACCCCCATATGCACTAGAACCTCCTCGATTGACCATCATACTGAAACATAAACCATATAAAGCATTAGAAAATCACTCGAAGAATCCTAAACTCTATATGCTCCCTGGTATCATCGTGAATTTCCTTGACTCGAG